TACGAAATTAACACATAACGGACAGATCTAGAACGGGCCGTTTCGATTTTGGAACGGGCCATTCTGGACCCTTTCTGATGCCTATAAATAGACAGCTTGGGCAAGGTTCTGAGGACCCCAAAAATTTCGTCCAAGACTCCTTAGAGCTCGAAATGTCTCTCTCTCTCCCTCCTATTGTATTTCTTGAGTTTTGTGAGGCATATTGTAGGGTGAAAGGTAGCCAAAAAGCGCCTAAAAGTATCCATATTGAAGATTCAATAGAGCTCGTTCAAGAGGTATTTTAGTCACTCTTTTCTCTTCTTTTTGTTTCTTATCTTTTATAAATCTTGTTATAATAAAAGCAATCATGTAGACATTTTCGAGTCAACTGTGTAATTTAAATTTCAAGCATGTAAATAGTCATTAATAAAGGGGATTAAATATTTAATTTATTAATTCTTATCACGTTAACTTCATCATAGGGTATTGATTTAGGGCGTTGTAGGGGTGCTTAATACCTTCCCTATACGTAACTGACCCCCAAACCCAATTCTGGTTATCAAGACCATTATTGGACTTTTAAAAACCTTTTCTTTTTCCAATGTTTTGAGTAAAACATTGGTGGCGACTCCATGAACTTATTTTCAAAACCATCAATTAAGGATTAGTCTGGTGTCCAGGCATTCCTTAATTGATGAGACTTTTAAAAGGATGTTTAAACCATTAGTCACAAGATCAGAAATTTTTGGGTTGCGACAGATGGCGACTCTACTAGGGACGTTTAAAGAGGGTCAGACCCATTTAATTGATGAAGTTAATAAAATAAAAATAATAATTTAAATATTTTTCCCCTTTACTTTGTTTGCTTTATTTGTTTGGCTTTATTATCTGTATGCTTGTTTAAATTCTGCACATGTTTGAATTAACAAATTGCACACAAACCATAGCACACAGCAATCCCCCTACACCCGGGGGCATGAGGGTATTAAACATAGGGAGTGGTTGACGTACGACCGGCCCAAGTTTGGCCTTAGAGCCTGCGAGCCTTGTCGGAAATCATACTCAAGGTGATAACAAGTTTCTATAGCCCGAAATACTGCGACAGACCTTAGAGTTTGTCAGGTGACGGCGACAGAGATACTAGGTCTCTATAATAGGGGCACCTTGGGGGCCTTAAGACCGGTGAGATTAGAACTATCCTATACAACGCACTTTTCTTAACAGGGACCAGAGACCAAGGATTCGAATACGATCGTTCGTGGGTGTATGTTGATTGAGCATGTGTGTGTGCACTTATTTGTATTATTTCTTCTAATAAGAGTGGATTGGATTTTTAAAATAAGAAAATAGATAATAAAAAATAAAATAATAATAATAATAATAATAATAATAATAATAATTTTATACCCCTTTGTACATTCTTAGGTCTGCATTCCATTAACATCATATAAGTAGTTTTCTTTTTGTAAAAAAAAAATCAATAAACGAAATATCATCTTTACCATGCATCATTCCCCTTTAGATAATAGAAACATGATAAAGATTAGGCAAAAAAAAAAGGGAACATGCATATCATATATTTAGGATCACAAGGGGATTTGTATCAAAGACAAGAAATCAGTGTGACCTTTATGACATCATAAAATATTATAAAGAGAAACACCGATAACTCACCTCGCGGCAAGGATGAGCCATTCAATCTTTGTTAGGAATTCCTTTTCATGCATTTACATCCAAATAGTTTAATAGAAAACTATTCATTGTCACTCGAAGGTGTCTCCTAAACACTCCATACTCATGAAGCTCAAGGGGAAAAAGTCATGGAAGCTCTACAAGAAGGAAGTCGTTTACTTTTTATGGAGTTCATACAGCTCAAACAACAAATGACTAAGATGATCGATGCCATGACCAGAATGCAACACGACATCGACCATACTACAGGATGTCTGATGTCTGAACGCTCTAGAAGAAAGATTGAGAGCCGTCGAAACATACAATTTTGATGGTAAAGAAGCTACTAAAATCTACCCAACACAGGAGATCCCACTCATATGCGATACCACAATACCCCCACGGTCGGAGGATAGTCAATCAAAAGGGGTCTATGGGAGAAAAAGATAGGAGAAACTTAATGCTACCACTATCCCCGTCTTCCCTCGGAAGTTTAAAACAATCTCAAAAGAAAAAAAGACTTCCAACGAAATTCCTATGAGCTATGCAGACTTGCTTCCTCAACTATTAAGGACCTCAATGATGGTGAGAATCCCACCGCCAAGAAAGCAAGAACCATCATACCCATCATGGTTTTTCTACACTAACCCATTCCTCTTGCCTCCTTGAATATATCACCTCTTGGTCTTCTTGGCCTTAGTGTTATTCCATCACCAGATAGCCAAACACAAACAAGACAGGTATAGCATAGATATATTAACAACAATATTACATCTCACTCATCCAAGACATAAAAATATCAATTTATCATATAACATTAAAATGCACATGTATAGACACCGACTACATATTATCATGCATGTGGCACCAGTAAAACAGCACATGGCATATTGCCGCTAGCAATACACGAAGAGTAGTCTAGGAGTACATGTCGGGTCACACCCTCTACGCATTCTCACTAGAAGGACATACTACCAGGGTCTAGTCGATCGGGATAGCTAAGCCGCGCAAGATACATCCCATGCACACAATGGGCGAGACTGGGACTTACAAACCGAGCTATCCCCAAGGACTAATCACCAAGCTTTTACACAAGGGGGCCTTTCCTGGCGGCATATTCCATATCGTACCCTTAAAAAATTTATGCAAATGATGCATGTTAATCAAGACTCTATGCATTCTCATATTACATTATCATGTCTCATTATTATCATATCTCATTGTCATTGAATATTATCACATATCCTCATATATCATGTTCACATTTCACATTATCTCATCATATTCACATAGTCTCCACAGAGCATTTTAATTCATATCAAAACTTGTCTATTTTCGAAAATAAACACATATTTATACTCAGCAACCATCACATAATACAACAGAAAACTCAAAAGGTAAAATAGAAAATATTAGAAATTTGCCTACTTCTCATAGGGTTCCCACAGGAACCCATAGAGCACTCTAATTCATATAATAAACATTTAAAACAGTACAATTAACTTATACAATTACCTCTTCAAACTATCTCCTCTTAGGCCATTTTTGTAGTTTAGAATGACCCATTCCAGTTTCGAAATCGCCTAATCTAGGCTACTAAAATTCAAAATATTTAAAAATAATTTTCATAAATATTTATTATTAAAAACCTCTAAAATATTCTATAAAACTCATTTAATTAATTAAAATAATTATAAGAAAATTATCTCCATAAATGTAATAATAAATAATAATTAACCATTATATTAGTGGAAAATCTGGGATGTTACAATCACTTCTATTTGGCTTCCCCATATATATGAAAGACCTTGACCTCCCAATCTTTCTAAAACCAATTTTGAAATTGTCCAAAATAAGCCAAAATAAATGACAATAGTTCTTTTTCCATGATTTTCGAACTATATTGCAATTTTGGAATCACTCTTAACCCGTATTCGATTAAGCCTTGCCTCCCAAGCCACCAATAGAGATGAGAGAATGTGCACCCCAAAAATCTTTCATAAGGAAATTTGAAAAGCCTAGGTTCCTCAAAAAGCCCAGAATCCCCATCCCATCCAAATTCCTAAACATACAAGAACAAATTTGTTGCAACCCATTATCTTTCATAAATGCATTTGTATTCACCTTTATCCAACTAGGGAATCCATGCAATGTTTTCATTTTGATACATACGACAA